TACTACTACTACTACTACTACTACTACTATTATTATTATTATCAACATTATTATCATTATTGTTACTATTGATGTTGTATTATTGTTATCTATAATTTATACAATTAACCTCCCTATGGTTCGATCTCGGTCTTGCCGGGTTATTTATTACTTCGACACTCCTGTACTTGGAAGAAGACATCAATCTTTTGGTCGTGTCACCATGTCTCTGCAAATATGAATGCCATGAAAAATTGTATGCTTCAAGTATCGAAGCAATCGTTTTGCAACTATTAAATGTGTTGCAGTTGGCTTATGCATAAATTCAGACAACTTGTTAACTGCAAAAGAAATGTTAGGTCGGGTGAGACATAAGTATTGCAGGGCACCAATAGTACTTCTATATTCAATGTTATCAACCGAGGATGTGCCATCAAGAAGCTTGAGCACAGTAGTGTTGGATAATGGAGTGGTAACCTATTTTTGCGCCATACATGTTTAGCTTTGTTAATAAGTCTCTGATGTATTTGTGCTGAGATAAAAAAAGACATGTGGAAGTAGGAATAACCTCCATGCCCAGGAAAAAATGTAGTTGACCTATGTCTTTTACAAAAAACTAGTGGCTTAGTTGGTTAATTATGGATGAGACAAAGATGAGATTATTTCCTGTAATAACCAAAACATCCATATACACCAAGAATTAATAAGTAATAGATTTGGTCTTATAAATGGACAAGGAGGAATTAACTCTAGAGTTCACAAAATCAAATTCTAAAATGGCACCTCCGAGAGTGGAATACCAAGCTCGTGGGGCTTGTTTGAGTCCATAGATAGCTTTGTTCAGGCAACAAACATGGTGAGGGTTGATATCATCTTTGAAACCCGGAGGTTAAACTATATACACATTTTCATTTAACAGACCATGCAAAAAAGCATTATTAACATCAAGTTGTCTTAATTTCTAACCTAGGTGACAGCAATCGTCAATATAGACTGAATAGTAGCCGATTTGACAACCGGACTAAATGTTTCGTTGTAGTCTAAATAAGGACATTGATTGAAACCTTCTACAACAAGTCTCGCTTTAAAGCATTCAATCGTCTCATTTGCATTCCTCTTAACCCAAAACACCTATTTACATCCGATGGGATGACAATGTTTCAGGGGAGATACTAAGGTCCATGTGTTGTCTCATCAGAGCTGTAAGCTCTGCAGACATGGCTCGCCAGTGTGGATCACCTAATGCCTGGCTCACACAACTAGGTTTAATATCATGAGGGAGAGGATGTTTGGTAACAACATGAAATTGCTTAGGTTTGTAAATGTTTTTCAGGGACCTAGTAATCATAGAATGGGTTCACTAGGGCTAAGAATCAGTAGCAACATTAGACACAGTGGGAGAAATTTGGGCAAGGATAGCAATATCGGTGGTGGGCGATGAAAAAGAAGCAGGTGTTAATGGAAAAATTTATGAGGAAGTGAGATCCTCACTGTGATGAACGACAATAGGACTATAACATGGAGAATTAAATGGCACATGTTCCTCAACAGAAAAAGGAAGAGCAGAGGCGGTACCTAAAGGAGATGTAGAAATGGTAGCACGATCCAAGATCATTAGTGAAGGTTGCGGTTGACCAGGTACACTGATGAGTGGCACAGCTACCAAAGAGGAGGAATTAAACGAGTTGTATGCAGGTGAGAGTGCCTGAAATGGGCTATGACTTTCATCAAACAAAACATGGCAAGAGAGATAGAGTTTGTTGGTGGATAAATCTAAACACTTGTAAGCATTCTAAGTTGTAGAGTATCCAAGGAACAAACACGTGGTGGCTTTTGGTTGAAGTTTATTTTTATTATACAGTTTTGTGAGGGGAAAACAACGACATCCAAATGTTTTTAATTTGAGATAATTAGGGGGTCGACGAAATAAGATTTCAAATGGGGTTTTATTTTGGAGTAGGAGAGTTGGTTGCCTATTAATGAGATATGCAGCTGTGGAAAATGCATAAGGCTAATAAGATAGAGGAAGGGAGGCATCATGTAGCGTATGATCATTTTCTACTAAGTGATGATGACGACGTTCCGATACACCATTTTGTTGAGTTGTATGAGGAGCAGTGTGTATTCCATGTATAGAAAAATATTGTTTGAGGGCAACAAATTCACCACCATTATCCAAATAAATACTTTTGATTTTGGTGTGAAATTTTTTTCAACAAGGAGTTTGAATTGAGGGAAAATACGGCTAACACAATATATATATTTGACATGGAATAAAACCATATATATTTGATAAAATGATGAACCAAAATCAAATAAAATCGTGAATCATCAAGACCAACTGTATGTGAGGGTCCCTAAAATCGGTATAAATAAGATCAAGTTGTGCATGACTTACAAGACTAGTTGGATGAAATGGTTACTTATGAGCTTTATTGGTTGAACAAGAGGTACAAATATAGGGTACTTGATCTTTGTGTTTTATTGGAAGCGAAAAATACTTGATAATTTGTGTAACAAGTTTTTGAAATAGATGTCCTAGATGTTTGTGTCACCCATCAAGTGATGTCCATTCATGCACATTTGTAATCATTTTTGGAGAGGATATTAGTGAGTCCAGAAGTGTGTAAACACCATTTTTAAATACACATTTGAATATAACCGCCCCCATGATCTAATCCTTGACAAGAAAAAAGAAAGGGTGAAATTCAATGAAAACATTGTTTTAGAGAGTACAATGATGAACATAAATAAGATTTTTGTGTATATTCGGAATGCAAAGAGTATTAGTGATATGAAAGGTGCGAGTGGAGGAATGAAATGCTAATGATTCAATATGTGAAACACGCAAACCTGATCCATTACCAATGAAAACCTCATCAATATCATCATATTTAGAATGAAAAAATAATTTTGCAAGATCACCAATAATAATAATATTATGAGAAGCAACAGAGTCAATAAATCATTTAATATCCTTGACTTGTGTTAATATCCTTGACTTGTGAGGTGGAGGCACAATTAACCGTGACATTACAGGAGTTAAATTGCGGACAATGCTTAACAGTGTGACCAAATTGATAACATATTTGACATTTTGGTGAATACTGGCATTGACCATTAAATTAGTTGTGCTTCTTATGGTCACTTGGGTTATCATTATAACGAGATGAGGCAGGAGGACCATTATATTTAAAGTAGCCTTTTTTGGTTGGCTTTGATATCATATTAAATATAGATTAATGCACAAATTGTTTTAGTTTTTGTTTATAAGAAAAATATTATATTGCTCGTAGTAAATAATACAGAAATCAATATTCTATATACAAAGCCTGCCTGCGTAATCTATTCTTGACAAGGGAAGCTTAAGTTAAGGATATACTACCTAACGGTTACAGAATTGAAAAGGCAAAATTAATATACATAGACAATTTTCCTTTTATTTCCTAGCTGTTACATGCTTAATTGTTAATAGATTTATGACTTATGAGATCTGCAGCATAATTCAAGTACTCATCCTTTATAATCAAATGGTGGATCAATCTCCAACTTGGCAAGTTCATTGCCTGGACAGGCATGTTGTCCACTACCAAATGGCATATTAGGTTTTGTTGCAACCTACACACAAAAAGTGAGATAAAAATCTAAAAAAAAAAGACATTAACCAAAAATTACTATTACTATGTTTATTCATACCTCAAATCTTGTAGGATCAAATTTCTGAGGATCACTGAAATATTCTGGATTGTGATGAATGTTCCCGAACAAAGGCATCACCTTCCAACCTTTCGGAATCAAGTACCCTGTCACAAAGTTAGGTGTTAGTCACTTTCCCTAAACGTCTATTTCTATGACAAATGTTGAAATAATTACTCGCAATTCGATCGATTAGAGTTTAAAAGAACCAATTCAGATGAGCCAAAGAACCAATTCAGATGAGCCAAACCCACCTAGTTCAGCTTGGCAAATGGAAATACAAGCAACTCCCAAAGAAAGCAAAAACATAAAATCAATCTTACAACTTCGCATTTCAATCCATAAAAAAAAAACTACTCATATCTAAGAAAATAAATCAAATAAAATACTGAAAAATAACTTCAGAAAGCAATAAAATTGTTTAACTTACAGTGATTAAAATTCAATTTCCAATGATCAACCATCGGGTGAGTTCCAAATGAGTCCAAAACCAGGAAAAGAGAAAAGACAGCTGGAAGGAAATGTGGATTTGATGCGATAAATGAGGTTGTTTTAGCCGGTAATTTCTCGGGGAATCGTGTCTTTTCCTGGAAGAAGGAAGGAAAGAAAGATGAGCTTCACGAGAGAGACTCACTCGTGTTGAAAATGAAATTTTTGTCTTGTATAAATCTAAGAGGCGGTCTTTGATGAATTTTTTTTTTTTATTTTACTGTCGACTTTTTATATTAAAATTATAATAATAATTATTTTTTAAAATATTTTTATTTAAAAATATATTAAAATGATATTTTTTATTTTTAAAAAATTATTTTTAATACACCATATCAAAATAATCTAAAAATATAAATAATTAATTTAAAATAAATAATTGTTTTTTAATTTTTTTCAAAAATACTTTTAAAATTAAAAAACAAACAGTTGGAGCTCATGTTGAATGATTTTTTTAAATTTTAATTTTTTTATTTAATTATTTTTAAAATATTTTTAGATTATTTTAATATAATAATATAAAAAATAAAAATAAAAAATATTATTTTAATATATTTTAAATTAAAACCACTTTAAAAATTAATATATATTACTCCACAACAATTACTTACTTGTACATCATTCCCTACAAAAATATCCACATTAAAGAGAATAATCAAATACCATGCCCGCGCAATGATGCAGGCTTGTAATATACTTGTACGTTGTCGTGAGTTTGTGGAAAAAAAAAATTATTGCAATCTACAGTGTTTTCAAGGAAAAAACTACAAAGTTAAATTCTTAACCACTTTAATATTAAAAAAATAAAATCATCAAAGAAAATTTTGAAAACAATCATAAAAAAAACGAAAGGCAAAAAAATCATATAAGGAAACACTGTAGCAATTTATAGTATTTCATGAGGAAATATACAGTTGTAATTCTCAACCAGGTCAATATTAAAGATAATAAAATAGATAAAGATAATTTTGAAAAAAATTATATGAGGAAACATTGTAGTAATCTATAGTGTTTTAAAGAGAAAAAGAACAAAGTTAAATTATCAACCAGCTCAATATGAAAAAAAATATATAAATAAAGACAATTCTAAAAAAAAAACCACAAAAACACTATAGCAATCTACAGTATAACAATCTATAGTGTTTTAAATAAAAAAACTACAAAGTTAAATTCTTAATTAGCTCCATATTAAAAAATAAAATTAACGAAAATAATTTTGTAAAAAAATGAAAAAAAGAAGAAGACAATTTAAAAAAAAAAAGCAAAAGAAAAAAAAACATGTGGGGAAAGTTAAAGTTAAATTCTCAACTAGATCAATATTAAAAAAAATAACAAAGATAATTTAAAGAAAAAACATGTAGGGAAACACTGTAGCAAAACAAAAATCATGTGGGGAAACATTTTAACAATTCACAATGTTTTTTAAAAAAAATCTACGAAACAAAATTCTTAACTAGCTCGATATAAAAAAATAAAATAAAATTGACAAACATCATTTGGAAAAAAAATAATAAAACAATCATGTAGGGAAACTTTGTAGTAATCCATAATATTTTAAAGAAAAAAATTACAGTAGTAAATTCTCAACCAGTTCAATATTAAAATAAAATTGACAAAGATAATTTTGAAAAAAAAAAAGAAGAAGACAATCTTGGGGAAAAAATAAAAAAAATGTAAAACCCAAAAAACACTACAAGATTTCACAGTTTTACTAACGGAAAAATTCCATCGGTGTGTGATTAGAAGTTCATCGGTGATTTTTTTACCGACGTCATCACCGATGGATTATGTTTGTCGGGTTACCTTTCATCGGTGATTCAACATTTTGTCACTATATTGGTCGGCAAAACAAAAAAACCACTTGCCGATGGTTTTACATATGGAATTTGCGTGCAAAAAAAAAAGATTCCCGCTTGAATATACCGACATATTTGTATTCCGTTAGTGATATCGTGATTTACTGATAGGAACTAACCGTTGGTAGGGCTGTCGGTGAGTGTATGGAATACCAACCGAATATATACGTCTGTAAATTCATCGGTAAGTGTGGCAGCTACTATCAAATGCCAATGAAGTCGTTCCATCGGTAAGTCGGTCGGTGAGTGTATGGAATACCAACCGAATATATACGTCTGTAAATTCATCGGTAAGTGTGGCAGCTACTGTTAAATGCCAATGGAGTAATTTCGTCGATAAGGTGGTCGATGAGTGTTTAAAATACTGACCGAATGAATCCGTCGGTAAAATCATTGGTAATTTTTTTTTCTAAATTTATTTTTAAAAAATTATTTAGGATATATAATATAAAACTATGTAAATTAATTGTAATACAAATCAATTATGCAAATAAAATTTATATTAAACAAAAAAAAGTTAAATAATATTCATTGCAAACTGAATATGTTTCAAAAAAAATATTAAATGAAGTTTTAAAGTTAAATAATGTTTATTACAAATTAATATAAAGGTAGAGCAGGAGAAGGAGGAGGAGATCCTGGAGGAGGCTGGTGGTTACACGGCCAAAAAGGATTAGGCGCACATGTTCCACTATTTGCCAAGTTCATAACCATTTCGCGGAGCTGTTCGTAAGCCGCTTTTTGTTGCTCTTGAGATGCTTTGAATTGCGCATACTTCGCTGATAGGTGGTCATATTTCTCGATGAGTTGAGCCGTGTGTTGCTGCAAGGCCTCGAACTCCTTAGATTTGGAGCTCAATATTGATTGGGAGCTATTGGGAGCTCCCAACGATTGAAACACTATGTGTTGATCGCAAGTTGTTTGTCGTAGTGTTGGAGAGCCTATGAACTCGATTTTTATCGGGTACGCATGAGGAGTCAACCTCCATCCACAAATCCGGATCGAATT